GTGTTCGCGTGCACGTCGAGCACGTACACGTACGGACTTTCCCCCGGCGGACCGACAGATGTCGCCTTGATTACCTTTGAATCGTCAAGATCGACGTGACAATTGGCCCCACAAGAAAAAAAGGAAACCGAGAAAGAATCTGTTTATTGTAAAAAAAAAAACATAATCGAATATTAAAATCATCTGTGAAAATGAATTGAAATGAAATTCAATATCATCTATAATATCAAGTTTTAGAGAATACCAACAATGATGATAATTTATTTATTACATTTCGAAATATCAAAATTCTTGATGGACTTTTCAAAATATTTTTTCTCGTGGAAGAAACCATTTGTTACCAATTAATTATTATTTAATCACGTGCATTGTGTGTTATTGTGTATATCGTTGACAAAACGTGTGAAGAAAGGAATAACTGGAATTATATATGTATATAAATATATATATACAAAACAGTGAAAATACTAGTCAAATCTCAGGGAATGTGTACGAAGTGTGTGTAATTATCTATTCAGCTTAAAAATTTGTGCAAAACTATTAAGTGTTCTTGTCCTTGTATTGTTTACAAACTAAACTTTAGGTGAAATGAAAATATTAATCTAATAGGAAAGAGAAAGAGATGGAGATATTAGTTTTCTTTTTTAGGACTGACCAAGTAAATCCGAAGTATAAAAAAATATTGTGTATATTCTGCTGAACATTTTACCATTTCACCACAGCTGTTTCATTGTTCCTATAGTCTATATTGTATTTTTATCAACATCCAGATATTTCAAACATTTAGAACGTGTTTTTAGAAAATCACGCATATAAGATTTTATTTCTATTTTATTTATAACTACAGATATTACAGGTGTGAGTTCACCTGATGAAAGTACAACAGTTGCTCCTGATAGCCCATGCTCTCCGGCTGAAACAAGCACATCAACGTCGTCACACGAACAACAAGAACAGGAACAACAGCAGCAACTTTACGAACATCACCATTCTCAATTTCAACAACAGCAGCAACGTACGACCGGAAGTGCGCCAGCCGCTGCACTGCACGTTGCTGAGGACAGTGGAGCCCCCTGTGAAATGCG